TGGCCCCTGGGTGGATGAACTGGAGAAAAATCCCAAATTCCTGTGGTGGCCATTCATGCACAATAACTGCCGGGATGAGCCACCGGTTGTATCGCGATTTAAAGTACAAAGAAGTCTATGCATTCAACCGCCTTCAACCGCATCTACCCTCTGGTTATTTAACATAGCCATGGAAAATGGCCATTTATAGTGGATTTTCCCATTAAAAATAGTGATTTTCCATAGTTATGTTAGTTTACCAGAGGGTATATGTCCATCACCATGCTTGTTGCTGGGTCTTCTTTGTTGCTTCGCGAGTTGGACCACTGTCGAAATCTCTGCCACTGAAAAGCGCACTTTTTAGGCCTCCGAGCCTTTTTAAAGTGCTGGGCAAGGATTCCAGCAAAGTAAAATGTAGGAAACAGAAACCTCTATGTACAATATGATATGATATTACCCATAGGATCCATGTATGGTATATATGCTAACATAAAGGGGGTATATTGATGGTAAATGTTACCATATTTAGCATACATGGATCGTATGGGTTATATTATATATACATACCGCAACTCTTGACATTTTTGAACCCATCCCCATCTTTACCTGCTGTTTTGGTCTTTGATGGAGATCTGTTCCCCAAGGAAAATGGATGTGCACCCACTCAGTGGTCAATAACCAGGGTCAGTTTCTGCAGATCTATTGTAAGTATCAAAAGTGGGATTGCACATGGGATTTTTTGTCTTGGGCGACGTCCGAAGCGACTTAAAGACTTGCAGGATATTAAATATCAACCACATCATGGGAAAACATCATGTGTCTTGCTTGGTTCATCAAACTCATAGAACCCATAAACACACATGCGCTCGTCAGATACTTCCATCCTCCATTTTTATCAACAACTTCCTTAAAAATGGACCCGAGCATCATCCAACATCGGGGGATTTTTTGTGTGACGCTACCCTCTGGTAAACTAACATAACTATGGAAAATCACCAGTTTTTATGGGAAAATCCACTATAAATGGCCATTTTCAATAGCTATGTCTGACATAACCTGAGGGTACATCCAAACGTCAAGTGCTCATCCGCTCGCGCTCCAAGGATCGATATGAGTGGCTACAGTTTCGCTGGGCTGCAGGACGGCTGAGGATATTCCACCATGCCAAACGAAGGCTCAAATCTTCGTAGAGATCCACTTGGTCTTCCAAACTCTTCATTTTACCCTCTGGTAATTTAACATAGCTATTGAAAATGACAATTTATAGTGGAATTTCCCATTGAACATGGTGATTTTCCATAGCTATGTTAAATTACCAGAGGGTATGTCGGTGATTGCCACATATTGCCGCAGCCAACGTTATTATCAAACATAGGGATGTGACTCGATGATCAAGCACGGGGAAATTACCGTGGTTTTACTCACAAACGAAAGGATTTTACCGACACAAATCCAGGTATAACAACGTAGTTTTTCGGAGTAGAGTTGCGGGATCGCTTAAAAACATATTCAAGATGTTTACAAAAACACTAAGATTCCAGGTCCTGTACTTGGATTTTTTAGCGCCCAGTTGACGAACAGTTTCTATGTTGCCATTGGTTCATCGACCGGATCCAGTTGGTCAATCTACCCGGCCTGGTAAACGTTAACATATATAGCTATTGAAAATGGCCCAGTCGAAATAGTTGAGTTTTCCCATTAAAAATGGTGATTTTCCATAGTTATGGGACAGTTTACCAGAGGGTAACGGGATGATTTTCTCATTTTTTACGGCTGGCCCTTACGCAAATCCGATCAGAAAAGTCCATGGTGCCCGCACATTGGTGACATTCATCTTGGGACGGTGACCCCTGAAAGCTTGAAAATAAAGAGAACCACGGCGATCAATCTAATCATGAAATGATCATTGATTGTCGGTTACACTGATGAAACTTGAAACTCATCAAGATTCTGAAATATCCTGGCTCCTTGATTAAGTTTTGATCCGAACTTGGTGATTCTTATAGGATATAGGTTTCCCACTCCCATTGATGATCAGAAAGCAGAGCTGCTCTGTTGAAAGTCTTTGAGCCGCTCTAATACATGGATATGTGTCTTTAGTATATATATATATATGTACATTCATACATGTTATAATGCATATAGATTTATGTCTTATCTAGAAATCGGTTGACACACAGATGCTAACTTACACAACTCCTATCGGTTCCATATGGTTTCACCCCATGGTCCACCGTCCTCACCACAGGAGTTGATGGCTCAGAAGGGTTTCCTAAAGAAAGAGCTCCTGTAGCCGCGCGAATGCCGGAGCCCGGCATGTGAGTTATGTGAAAATTGTGAAAGACTTGGAGAGTATATTTGGGTTCGGGACTTTCTCGCCCATGCTGGACCTGTGTTCAGATGTTTTCATGGATTTAATTGCGTGAAACTGTGTTTTTGCATGAATATATATATATATATATATATGTGTGTGTGTTGTCTCCTTGAGCATTTATGGTTGCGCTCTTCGCAAGTAACATTAGCTGAGAGTAGCGATTGAGTGAAGCGTTGTGTCGCTGCCAGCTGCGCTATGAAGCTGCGTCTCCCTGATTTAAGGATTAGTCATGCATGCCATTGGGTTTTTCAATGGAATGCTTAGTAATTACATATCTGGTTGGGGGGTTCAACTGTGTACGTATTGTTTCTTCAATGTTTTTCAAATATACTTGGGATGATGGATTTGGGTGGCTAATATTGTTCAACGATTCTTGGGATGATGGATTTTTCGTCATATGTTTTTTTTTTTGTTTTTAAATACCACGAGCATGCATCAGCTTAGTCTTAAAAGCCATATGCTATCCTAGTTGCAATGCATGTATCTGATTGTTTGAAACGATTACATCGCGGCGTCACAAGGTTAATAGGTTGGATTGGGGTAAATAGGTGTTTTAGTTGTTTTTTTTCAATTGTTGAAATTATATATATGTAATATTATAGTCAACAAAATCCAGTTTTATGATATTCCTGTATGTATATTATTAGCATCTACGATTATGTAACCATATATAATCAAAAATAATTAATAAACTATGTATAAATACATATATATATATACATATATATATATTATACATGTAGAATTCAAGTTTGAAGAAACTAAAGCGGCATATGAATACAGTGACCACCACATCTTTGGTTGTATGCGCAATCGCCCAAGGGACATTGGATTTCTACATTTCTCACAGTAGTAAAGTTATGACGATTTAAGGCGTAGAAACAACATGAGGGTGCACGTCTCTATATGCACTTCATGACAGTATGATGAGTGATATACTTAATACAGTCATGCTTTCTTGATCCAAAATCGCAGGTGGATCTGTGGGTCCTTCAAAAACAAGCATCCACATGGTTGCACCCCAATGTTTCATTCAGTAGTACCGTACATGAGATTTGCGCAGCTGACTGCACCAATGGCGCGACGCTGAGAATTGCTGTTGTTCAGTGAAAGTTGTTCGAAGAGCCACTTCAAGCCGTGGGGACTGTTGTAGGAGCATGGGAAAAGGCAACGAAGAATGGCTCAATACGATCCCAATATAGAAGTCAAAAAGGAATACTATTTACCAAACTGGTTTAATGTGACAAAACCATTCATGTTTGATTTCCTATGCAATACAGTTTGGGGGTTGCATAAACCGTCAAAGAGGGTGGTGTTTATTGGGTTTAATGAGTTGGAAATTAAATATCTATATACTTGATGTCTGATCTCATGTATAATTCAAGTAGGTTGGTTCCACCAAAGCGATCAAGTTTCCAGAAGTGTGATATGTGCATGCATTTTGCACTTTCGTCAGTGAATATTTATGAGATAATGATCCATCACAAAGATGAGCCGCTGGGTATATGATTCCCTTCGGAACCAAATATTTCCTAAGCAGTCACTATTTCCATCTATTTCCTTCATTATCATTCTCATTCAGTAGTATCATGTAGTATCATTATGTATCATTACCCATAGGATAGAGGTATGGTATATATATATATGCTAACATTTACCATCAATATACCCCAAATGTTAGCATATATACCATACATGGATCCTATGGGTTATCATTCCCCACTAGGTATCTTAGCAGGTACCTACCCTCCTAAATCATACCCCGGTCATACTTCCGAGCCACGGCTCCCATAGGGATTCGGAATTGGTCAGGCCATGACGTTTGGTACAGCCCATTGGTTCTGCTGGCATAATCTTAAATCATCTTATGTATATATATATAATATATGTGTAGATGTATTATACTATATTATTTGTATATTTATATTGTAATTAGATATTATTCCCATGTTTTTTTTGTGTATTCTTGTTGTTTACTGTACCTGGACACCACCCCCAGGTCATGAGATCAGAACTCAACCGACCTGTCGTGGAACTTGCGACTCCACCAGACGAGATGTGGGTGCTGACTTGACTGTGCCATGTTGCTTGAGACTCCGCCAGACTTTCTGGATGTTCTATGGGTTTGTCCAAAAGAAACATGATCAAAATGTATGGATTAGAAAACTTTAAGACACCAATTCATTATTAACCAGTATAATCAATGGAAATTTCAGGATCCGATTCATTGGAGGTACCTACCATATATAAGGCCTATTTTTGAGGCCTATGTAAGGGAATATCCCCCCAAAATATGGCCAGAAATATGGTACAGTACCTCCATTTTAGGATCCTGAAATTCCCATTGATATGGGTTTGTCCAACATGTTGATTTGAATAGAGAAATGGTGATAGACCCATATAGACTCATAAACTTATTTTGATAAACCATGCTTGTTTTTGGGGCCCAACATTTTCAGGCACCAAACCCAGTGAATTTCCACATTTTTGACATCGTTTTGTGGGTACCTAAGTCTCTAGTAGTCTGACATGTTTACCCAATGCCATGGTCACCATAAGGGGGTAATAATGGGTAGTACCGCTTCACCACATATCAGGACAATGAAGCATGCACAGGACACTTATCATCACTTATCTAGCTGCTGCCATGGTCGTCTTCTGGCGACAGTCACAGTGGACAGTCTTGAGCTCGCTGCGTGGCCATGAACCAAGCACTTTCAATCGCGTCCAGTTGGATGTTGCCGTCCAAGTTCGACGGTGGTTTGTGAGTCAGATGAGCCTTGGTGAGTTGTTGACAAGCTGGCTCTGTTGGTGGACAAGTCGTGAAGGTTCTACAGTGTTCAATTCTCCACTATGTACTATCCATATGGGGCTTGGCCCTTGCGGTTTTAGGACATCAAAGGCTATTTGTTGTACCCCTTTTTCTCGTTCCTTTGGTGGCTTGAACTGCCAGAATTTACCCCAGCTTGTCGACAAGATTGTACAAAGCTATGGAGTATCGCAACTCCACAATTCACTGGAAGAACATCCGAAGACATATTTCAAACATGCAGCAAGGTCTCTTGGATCCTTCTCATGTTTCCATCCAGGCTCTTTTCCAGTGCATTGCTCCACAGACATAGATCGGTCGGGGAAAAAAAAACACGCCGCAGATCGGTGCCGGGGAGGTCACATCATCGCTGTGGCCGTCGTCCTAGAGCTGACCACAACAATGACAACCATACGTTATTTGTACATGATATGAATACTCGTAATCGTATGTAGAAATGGTACTGTATAAGTCGGTATAAGTATAGATATACTTTGTATATAATAATACTAAGAATCATCATGTTCTTTGCTTCCACCAGATTTTTCATCACGTTGTGGCGCCTATTTAAGCAGTGATTCACCAGCTCGTTGAAATCCCTCACATTGTTGGTGAATTCCGAAAATTATAGCGGCAGAAATCCGAAACAATGTCTGTTCAATTCCATGAAAAGGACACAAAAAGGTTTGATCTTCAACTTGTTGATTAATTCATGTTGATTTATCTTAAATTGCTGCTAAAAATACCCCTATATTGGTTGATTCAACAACCCATGTTGTATTGTTGATCGTAACCCCCAAAGAGATAGAACAGCCAGGATCAAGCTCCATACTTTCCAGGTTTCCAACTGATCATCCACTAGCCATAGGGATTGCTATAGACCGTTTTTTTCGATGAACTCCATAAATAATTTTGTTGAAAGATGGTGCCTCCCCAGTGATGTTTGCATATGTTTGCTGGTTTATAAACCAAAGTACCAAAGTAACTATAGATATATGATAGATCTACCATGATCTACCATAGACCCTAGTGAAATTGGAACTATTTGAGCCAACCTTAGCGATTTAGCTCGGGGCTATCCCCATGGCTGGGGCACCACGGCTGGTTGCTTCGTTGGTTCCCCGGTGGTGCCAGGCGAAAGCAAAGTGTGAGGACTTGAAGTCGCAGTTGGATGCGGCGGAAGAAGTGGCCTGTGATAAGGAGGTGCGGTCCGCCTGGGAAACCTTGACTGGTTGGTGGTTTCAAAAATGTGTTATTTTCCATAATATATGGGATAATCCTTCCCATTGACTTTCATATACCATCTGGTTATTTAACATAGCCATGGAAAATGGCCCATTTATAGATGGTTTACCTATTAAAAATGGTGATTTTCCATGGCTATGTTAAATAACCAGAGGGTATATGTTTTGTGATAATCAGTTTGTCATCCCCAATATGATTAACCCAAATAATATTGACCATAATGATGTTCTGGTTGGTGGTTTGGAACCATGGAATTTTATGATTTTCCATAATATATGGGAATTTCATCATCCCAATTGACTTTCATCTTTTTCAGAGGGGCTGAAACCACCAACCAGTTGAGTTATGTTTTTTTGTTAAAAAAATAGATAAGCCCTCCGGTGATTTAACGTAGCTATGGGAAATCACCATTGTTAACAGGGACATGTGATTTCCCATAGGTAAGTATCATGTTCATTTCCACTTATAATATAATTTCAATGGGAAAAACTTTGATAGTTAACGCAGCTATGGGACATCACCATTGTTAATCGGTAAATCATCATGAATCATCTGTTTCTATGGGCCATGGCTTCCATAGCTATGTTAAACAACCAAGAGGGTGTATATATGTACAATAGTGATTTAACAGTGATCCCCAAAAAGATAAACCAATAAAATCCTACTCAAATTGATTAGTGATGATTGAGACTGTTCTATCTTTTTGGGTGTTACTATAATACTGGATAAGAGGAGAAAATCTGGAGATGGATCAATTATATATATAGCAATTTAGCAAGACTGAAACCAAACAACTGTGGTTTATCTTCAGCAGCCAGTGTCGTGTTATAGGTGGCCGTGGTGGCAACGAAAACTTTGCTGGAAGAATCTGAGAAGACCATGCAGGCAGCATGCGACGAAACCATGGTCTCGGTGTTTCCCGGAATAGGGTGAGTATTGTGGGTTATATGGAGGTTCATGAGGTTTCCATAAATGGGGGTACCCCAAAATGGATGGTTTATAATGGAAAATCCTATTAAAATGGATGATTTAGTTATGTAATTTATATATAATAGCATATAATAGCTCACTGCCAAATAACAAGATTTTCTTGATCAATATATGTCAAGAAATACAACATTTGGATGTTGTCTCCATCCTCCTGTGGGTGCCAGTAGCAAATGTGGAACATGATTTTCTCTACGTACGTTTCAATGAATTGGATTCCGTATGTTTAAATGGCCGGGCGGGCCAGGGAAAACCTTCCCGGAGGTCGTCTAAAATACCTGTTCGTATTTTCAAAAGTCCGCATGTTTAAATGTAGTTACCGTCTGTTATTGGACCGTTGGACTCCCCCACCTGTTTTGGATGCCACCCAGTCCACCCAAGAAAGTTGGATGACGAAAATGATGATTTATACGAAACAGATATTAACATCTGAGAATGTCCACCAAAATCTTAAAGGGTCTGCCAAAATCTAACAAAATCACCAAAATCGAAAATTGTGATAACATGTTTAGGCCTCATAGTAACCACCAAAAAAAATGAGAAAAGGTTGAAACCTGGAAATCATGGGAAAACATCATCGAAGTACCTGTATTCAACCAATGAATAGTTGTGTGTTTTTTGTTACATTTTTTTTTATCCCAAAAACAGAAATTGGGGGGATTTTTTTTCGAATTTACAAACTAACGTAAATGTAGAAACTCAACCCATCATGGTTTTGTGAAACTCCCGGGGAAACCATTGGTTTTCCACATTTTTTTGGAACAATTTACCATCTGCTTTAACAGTTCGCCATGGAAAGATCCACCATGCTATTAAGTTCGGTAAACCATCTATTTCGTTCTATGGGCCATCGAAAAACCATGGCGAACTGTTAGTCATAAGCAGGCCGGGTACCTGCTGGGGTCACCAGCCACAAAACAGATGGTCATAGAACTGGATGATGGGAAAATTTACAGGAAAACCCATCAAATTTGATGGTAAAAACCCATGGGTTTCCGGTTAAGATTTTCCCAACAAAACCAATCCATTGATATTTTTATTTTCAATAAACCATAGTTATAAGTATCATAAACCATATATAACAACCATTAACCATGGATATTCCCAATGGATATTCCCTTAAACCAATACAACACAGATGGATTTCCTGGTCCCGAAAAAATCATCGTTAAGTCAGTCTCCATCGTAAGGAGATGTCGCAAAAGATCGACACGGCCGTCGCCGAAGTCTTGGCGTTTGACGAGGCGAATGGGCCATCGCCACTGGTTCGAAATGGAAATTTCACTGCTGTGATTCTTTAACTCATCCAGTATAGCTGGGAAAATCATCCAACTGGATCTGGATCTAAATGGGTGGTTTAAGACATCCAGTATATCAATACCCATACGATCCATGGTGCTGCTATATATATGGTAACATGGATCCCATCAATATAGCCCCTTTATGTTAGCATATATACCAGCACCATGGATCCTATGGGTTATGTTTCAAGGGACAACATAGAAATTTTATGTGGTTCAATGACTTTTAAACAATGTTTAAGGTGATTTTCATTTTGAAACGTTTTGAAAAAACAACTTAAAGACAGTTTGAGTCCAGCTGTCCTCCAAGCATTTTTTGGGGGCTCGGAGTGTCTCGGAGTGGCAGGTGCTGGCGATCTTCAAGGACCTCGGAGCGTTCCAATGTGGTAAGTGAAAAGGCGGTGGAGTTAGTGGTGGAACATCTGGCGCCGGCAGAGGAGCGGCTGGTGGATGATGGGATACCGGGATAGGGCTGTGGGTCCAAGAAAGATCCAATATTTGGAGATTTTGACGAATTTTGATGAATTTTGGTAAATTGTGAATCTGAAATTCTGTGATTTAGCGGTAAATCTAGCCTTTTAACGATCGTAACTTTGGGGGCATTTGTATAGTCCAACTTCATGGGGGATGTAATCAATGCTGGGGAAACTGGCGCATTTGCCAATTTGCCAATGTCCAGCCTGATGGGGGAGAACTGATCGCACATGTTTTTGTGGCCGGATGGAAGCCGGTTTCCTCCATAGGAGTTGGGTGCCATAGGATTCTTGATGGTTCCCGTTCGGATGCCTCATCCCCAGCACGTTTTGAAGGAGATCTTCCCCAAGAAGTAGATGGAAAAAGTAACAGACATGTGGCCAACCCAATCAACATTCATCAACAAAGCTGCAGGAATCAAGCATAAATCTACAATTGCAATATACAATCTGGGGATGATTTATAGCACCCGTTTCTGGTGACTTGGGGATGGTTTATTCATCTGCAGGCACAGACTGTCAGCTAGATGTCCGACATGCACGGAGGACTGATGCTGAAACATCACATGGATAGGGAACTGGTTGGTGGTTTGGAACATGAAATTTCTGACTGTCCATATATTGGGAATGTCATCATCCCAACTGACGAACTCCATCATTTTTCAGAGGGGTTGAAACCACTAACCAGATCACATGGATAGGGAAAGACCTGGAGGTTCAGACATGGGGACCATGGCAAAAAAGATCAATGGATAAGCCGTGAAAACGACCATCAGGGGACCCGTCTTTTGTCCAAATCGCTCGGGATTATCAGAAAAACATACGGGACTCCCGAGCCAATGAAACCACAGTGCCCCTGAATCTCAGGGGTGTTTGATCCGGTCGCCCTGGACATTCCTGGACCCCACCAAAAGACATCTCTGATAAATGTTGAAGATGATGAAGGTTGAAGATGGTTGAAGCATGCCAAGGACTTTTTGGCTCCAGTCAATCTGTATCCTACTGTAGTTGGGTGATCTCTGCAAGCAATTTGGCGCTGCTACTTCTATGAAAACACCATCGTCTTGCGATGGATTGCACCGAGCATATGAATAGATAAGGGATGATATGGCTTTATCTGAAAATAGTGTATCCCTAAATCCATTCTTTACCTTTATTTGACCTATATAAAACTGATTATAAATTCATTATGATTGGCAATTTTACCGGTGTTCCCATTTTCAAACACACCCAGATGAATATATACTTCATTTAGTAGGCCTAGATGTTGTTCTGTCCGTGTGTCCGACTGTTTCTTTCAGGAGCACATTCCGTACCACTAGGGGCTGACCCACTCAGTGTGAGTGTGCTGTTCGTGTCAACAGCGGGTCACTGCAGACCGGCTCAGCATGGCTCAACCGTATCGGCACTTCGAGTCAATCTCATGCTAGTGCGCTCACCTCACCTTTTGTCTTGGACCTTTGTTAGAGTCTGTCGGATCTAGCCTAGTCCTAAATGATGCTCAAGATATGTGGATGTGGGTCAAAATGGAAGACCTAGGGGACCACAGATGTTAGTTCAGTTTAGTATTAACCATCCAATTATTGAGGTACCTAATTTTGACCCATACCCATGTGTGGTTCCATGCGTCAACTATCAGGGTTATCTTAAAACTTGCCTTTCCAGCGCAATGGAATTGCAACCGTGGTTCCCCAGATGTGGTGTTATCCTCAGCGTGAAGGCATGCTGCAATGGAAATGTCCAGCATTCTCCGTAGATAGGAACGTGCTTCCCTCCTTTTCTACCCCTTCGAGCACCAGGACATTTCAAGTATTTTCAAGTGATTTTTACGCAGCTCGTTTGTCTCATTTCCAGGACGTCGACTTCAATCAAGGGTAGGGTTGCTTGGAATCACGTGTTTTGTTCAGAAATTGGTCCCAATATAGGTCACCCCGTTTGTTAGCACCCCTTCAGCTACAGCTCTAGGACACATCATGGCTGGCACGGTCTGTACGGGGGCACCCTGACATCGGCATCTCCATGTCATATGCCAATTACTTCGCCGGGCCGTGGGTCCTTTCGCTTTCGCTCCGCTGATAACATGACAACCATCTGTAGAAGAAGGAAATTCACGGATGTCAACAAGCCAATCACAGTGGTTTGATCATCAGAATTCTGGTATTGATCATGATTTATCATGATCTATCAATATTATAGTAATGAAATATAATTACTGTAACATATTGAACAGATTTAGGGGACTTATCAATATTCATCAACATGAATGCAATCATTCTGGCTATGGCTGAATCATAACAACCTCACCATGACCTTCAGCGTATCAGCTTGGTGAATGTTGATAGAGATTGACAGAGGGATAGCCAACTCGAATACATATCCTATCGCAACCCCCCCAAAAAGGATGCAAAACAGGAATGAAATTCAATCCTAACATATCCTAAGAAACATCCACGTCATATTTGGTGAAGTGACTTGTAGTAATTGCATGTACTTATGTATCTTTATTGGGGTCATCGTACCATAGCAATAAGCCTTGACTTCACGCCACACTTTCTTCGGTGGGCGGCCTTTGGCTTAGCTTATCGGATGTAGACATTGAATGGTTCAGCACGGAAAAGACAACCATTCAATTAGGAAAAACCTTGTTGACATGATATGATTTTCAGGTAAGATATGACATATCCTACGATTTTTTGATACTTGACTTTTGTCTTGTTGGGATCACTGCAACAGTAAGCAAATTTGTGGGTGCTTTGGCACCCCTTAGCCACGGAGGATGCGACCCATGCCCAGCTTCTTACAGTACATAATTCATGAAAAAACATGTACATTAGTCGCGGCTTACCGGATTGCAGAATCTGCTTCGTCCAAAAGATGGATACTATTGGGATCAGGGTGGCTGAGTGACGGGTGACACCTATTAATTTCATCATCTAGTACCCTCTGGTAATTTAACATAGCTATTGAAAATGGCCATTTATAGTGGATTTACCCACTAAAAATGGTGATGTTCCATAGTTATGTCAGTTTACCAGAGGGTATTGGAGAGGTTGCCGGATCCACATGACATCAGTATTGCCCAGATGACATCAGAAGTCATAAACAGACAACCACTTTTGGTGGCGATAGATGTGATGGGTACCAGGTGGCTGGGTCAACCTTAGTTATATAGATACTTTAGTATAATTTAGTACTTTATTTTTTGCTATCCATGACAGTATGCACTAACCAACATTTTTTTTGACATATCCGAGATTCACCACGGTGGTGTCATTGGTTCATTGGTTTTATACATTCTTCGCGCCGGAGATTAATATTTTCCCACTGACTCAGAAGTGCTGAAGTCAACGAAGATAACTAAAGGCTGGGTTTCACATCAAAACACCATCCATTTTCCATTGATATATCGATAAAGTCACAGGTTTATATATGTTACCATCTGGTTATGACTAACAGTTTGCCATGGAAAGATCCACCATGCTATTAATAGGTAATTCATCTATTTCTATGGGCCATCTATACCATGGCTATGTTAAATAACCAGAGGGTATATGTTACATGTGTTAAACCTGATATATCAGTGCCGATTAACGTCTTAAAAGACATCGATGAGGCACGAGTGAAACATGCCTTGAACATCTCACTTCGATGCCTGGATCATGATGGATCATGACTTGTGGTGAGGCCATCATCAATGGCTGAACAAATGGATGGTCAAACTTGGGTAGCCCAATAATTAGATGGCCAATACGCGTACCATGTTAATACAGATACATGTTAATACTAGACATATCTGAACATTAGTCCTAAAATGTGCGGTCCCTTCTGCGGCTTAAATCTTGACCCTTTGTACATACCCTCCCTGGATCACAATGGGCTGAATGCTTGGGGGCTGCATCCCAGCTCATAAGTGGGTAATAAATGGTAATGAGCCATATTATACCCTGCCAGGTTTTTTTATATCCTGGAATATCATGGAATATCCACAGTTATATTAGTTAGCCACTTGCTAACTGGCATGCACATCTTCATAGGAACTATGCCTGTTATGGGAAACTAGTTGTTTCGTTAGGAGCCGGTAAACCTTGGGACGTGCACTTTAGTGCTTGACTCTTGTGCCATCAACAGGCGCACAGATCTACATTGAAAATTGAAGGGTATCTAAGACCGTCTAAGACCGGCAATTAAAACTGATTAGTGTTTTCAAACATTCTTTATTTTCCATAATTTATGGGATAATCCTTCCCATTGACTGATATTTTTCAGAGGGGTTGAAACCACCAACCAGATAAGGTATACTTCACGGAACCGAGCCAACGTCATCACAGGCGCATGTTGGTTTCCTTGGACGACCTTGCAGCGGCCTTCGAGCAGGCGAAATGACGAAATGGCGAAATGATGTGACTTCGCCAAGAAACCATGGGAATATTAAACCCTGGGTTTGCTGAAGGTGTTTTATATGTGATTATATGATGTTTTGTTGTTTCTCATCTGGGAAAATCCACCATGTGGGAATCGGGAATTGCCTTGCACTTTTTCTTGAGGACTTTAAGCAAATACCATCTGGTTATTTAACATAGCCATGGAAAGATCAACCATTTTTAACAGGTAAACCATCTATAAATGGGTCATTTCCCATGGCTATGTTAAATAACCAGAGGGTACAAGCAAAAACGGCGAAATAAATTGCATGTGTTGCCTTTTTTTTTTGTGTGACGGGGACCCAAATCCCGGAGTTACTGAGTCGATGAGTCGATTATTTTGTCATTGGGTAATTCACCAAACGTGAGGGGCCTATTGGGAACATATTAGTGACGTTTTGCCGGGGGGGAACTTAAGCAAGTCCAAGTAAAGGCCGCAAGGGAGAATGGGGAAGTTCACCACCAACAATGGGAAGAGAATAACAAAGATACAAAGTGGG